TTTTTTCCCCCCCCCCCCCGCCCCGCCCCCAATCCTCTACATCTGTTTTACCTATTCCGACAGACATTGTTTCTACCTTTTCTCTACCTTTCTACCAGTGAAAGAACCCAGAACGAAGAGACTTGGGCGAAACTTTACAGACAATTCTCATCAGGAGCGGCTCGTATCTAAAATCTCCCCGTTTCTGTCCTTCTCCGTCGCTCTCTTTCCTTCCCTCTCTCTTTCTCTTTCTCGATGCATACCTTTTTCCTGACTCTGTCTCATCGTCTGTTCCTCGTACAATCTTCTCTCTCCACTCTCTTACGTTGACTCTCGGCTCTACCCCCTCTACTGTATGCTTGCTCATCCTTCTTCCCTTCTCGCAGCTGCTTCTTGTTCCTTCGTTTTTCTTGTACGTCTGCAGTTCGCACAGCAGTATCATATATATCACTTCTCCCGTTGCGCAAACAAACGGTCTACAGGGTGTTCCATAAGTTATCAGATTCGGTTGTGTTGCGTATCCTGTATATAATGCGTTCCTGTAATCGCCTGGCTGCATGTCAAGTAAAACTTCCTTCGCGTACGATATTAACCTTTACTTTGACCATTGTCAAAGTTGCAGTCCGAGTTGGATATTCTCCGTTGCACTCTGAGCTGAATGTATTGAGGAACCGATGAGTAGAAAAGAACTAAGAAGAGATGAAGAAAATGCAAGTAACAGGAGCCACTTTTTGTATCGTTGATATGTATTCTATTGTCATTGATAACGTTGGATAAGTTACGTAAGGCCCACTTGGAGACGGTGCACTGTATACTTCCCAGTCGATCGGCTCTCTGATCCTGGGATAGTCCAAGGGTTTACATTTAACGCGATAGGATCGTAACGCTGGACCAGAATCTTCAGCATCTTTGCAGAGGCCTAAAAAAGCGAGTCTCTTGGATACAGAAGAAATTCAACCTATCTGGTTGATGACTCTGGAAATAATGGAGTAGAAGCTTTCTTTTTTGAATTTTCCTTACTTTTGACACTGAGAAATCCACTGTCAACCTTGTTTGCTATTCTTTCTTTTTTTTCGGACAATACCTTAAAATTGCCACCCACCGCTAACGCTAAGAAGACTGCACTGTCATAAAGGACTGCGCTCATCTTCTAAGAAGGAATCTGCAGCAGAGATGCTGCAACAAAGATTCCTTGTTCTCTCGCCAAGTACAACGAAACAAGGAAGAGTTTACGTGTTGTTTCGCTGTTTGTGAAGAGACAGCATACCGTATGACGTCACGTCAGCGATAATCGTCGTACCATTTATTTATTAAATATTGACATTGGTCCATGGAAGATGTAAAATTTACCTCGTACCAGATCAAATAAAAACATATTATTTATTAATACTAATTTAAACAAAAATTCGAACAGTCCTAATTATTCCTAATTAATAATTATTATTTGATCTTACTTCCCGTTATCGCAAGTATAGTTCGTCGTGTCTTAAGCGTTTATCATGGGCAAAGCCATTCGATCTGCGAATATAAACCATGTAGCCAGCATCTTACTGGCTTAAGGATTCTGCGAGAGAGTCGGGAAGAGGGGCGAGTGGGAGGAAGACAGTGGCGTCTACGGTTACAGAGGGCAACGTGGGCTTTTCGTCTTGCTCTACGTAACGTAATGTCACTTTGTTACTGTTCTCTCTTATTTACAACGATGCCTCCGGTAACTCGATCGTTTCGAGTGTCTGTGAAGGAGGGAGATAAGAGAACAAGACGATAGCGTGCGTAGATCTTTGAACGAAACAGGCCTGACACGCCGAACAAAAATCCCACGAGAATTTCAATGCACGAAAATCGCATTCGTTGCACAGTTATAAGTGCACTCGATGGATATTGAATTATATTCGCAAAAAAGAATCTTTACAAATTTCAATCTATATACCAAAAATCATACACGAACCTGAAGTAGGTTCTGTCAGAGACGAAATGTACGAGCTAACTTCAAATCACTTGAATAACCCTATATATTCATTGGCCTAACCAGCAGCTTGTAATCCTTCCATCCCCGGTAACGTCACGGGTGTTTGTATTTGGCCGACAGTTGTTTGCCATTTACAGAAAATTATGCAAAATCTATGAGCCCCACGTGGACACGATTTGGAAAAGCTGTGCCAAAAGTCCCGCCGAGGACTGATAGCCTCGAGGCCTGTAGGATCCATCGGCAAGTCCGTGCGTCATAGTCGTATCCACTGGTACCTAACTTCGTGGAACGGTAGGGTATGAAAGAGAGCAAAAGGGACTTACAGAGAGGGAGGATGTTAGACGAAGGGAGACGTACGTCAAAAGACGTAAGAGACAGAGATGCCGCACCGAGATCATATATACTATACTATATATAAATGACCGTCCCGACAGGCGATTGAAATAAAATTGCCCGTACTTTCGCAATTTATTTCAAAGTATCGGCCGGCCATTTTTTATTTCCACTGCACCTGCCTCCGTCGGGATTTTAATTCGCGCGACACGTTTCCTCCGACTGCCCATTGGGGATTAGTTTTGGCACTAGTCCGCAATTAAGGGAAATTTGTCGTTGCACAACGGTAAAAAGTCCACCGATACCATCGCTGCCAATCCATTTCATCCCCTAACGATTAACCGTTTCCGTCCCTTAGAATAAAAATATACAGACCGAAAAAAAAAAGTAATACGCAAAAATTTTATCGCAAAAGGGTGACAACGAAAATCCAAATGTTCGTACATCCACTATTACCCAGAATGCCTGAAATCATCCCTGTCACAGCTACCACCCTAACGACCAAACTCCCTCGCTACTTACGTAATCGCAAGTCCATACCGAATTCCTGCTAAGAAGGCCAGCTTAAAATTTATCCCGCACAGGGCATAGATACTTCGAGCTGCCCGTCCGTAACGCTTTGACTCACGCAACCCCACGCGACGCAGGTCGCAGCCAGGCAGCACCCCTAGGCTATGCCGTCCGTCAAGGGAGGTGAAATAGCATGCCATTCAAGCGGGATGGCTGTGCGACACGTAGCTGTAGTTTCAACCCTTACGTATATATATACACTCACTGTTATATATATGCATTGGGAAACAGTACCCGTGCACATTGACGTAGATGCCGTCGCGACGCTATAGACGTCCGTACGTGTATTCTATGTTGAAATAAATGAGTATGCTAGCTATAGATATACGTGAGCTTACGTTTTAGAGCAGGTTCTATATATAGGTATACCTGTCAAGTTATGTGAATATGCATATATACGTGTAGTGTATATAAGTACTATGGCACCTGACATGACGTCAGGGCCAGGACGCGAACAGACGTATTTATTATGACAGTTAGGCAATAGTTTACCGTAATCAAGAGATGCGACTTCGCTTGCGACGTCGTATCTACGAGCCGTTGTGAATTATGGCTGCGTTGCCCTAAACCCAAGTGCCTCGAATGGCTTCCAGGATTCCGGGAACACATATGCTACGAAGATGAACGTATATACTACCTTGGAATATTATCTATCGCGCCCACCCCTCGGAGTGAATACACATAACTGTTTCCTTCTTGAATTATCCTTTAGAGAGTTCAGAGGCATTTTCGTTGTATATATGGGGACGCGTGAAAAGGAGAAACGCAACTGTAGCCGCTGTTGGGGTCGCGTAAAACCAGCGAACGCAACTGGATGCACGAGCGGGAGCGAACGGTCACGGAAATGCACGGCGCCCAGGCTGCCAGGAAGCGTCAGCTAAATAATGCCGGAAACCGAGAGCAAGCGATCGGGAACGTAGCAGACAGCAGTGGCTGTAAAATCGAAATCCCTCCACCAATTAATAAATTGGGAGTACTCACCGGAGCTGGTTCAGTTGATTCGTGAAGGCCGAGAACTGCATCCAGGGGTCGCTCAGGTGGGCACTGCACTATGGGGCAGCACTGCACCTTCGAAACGCACGTGGAAAATCCATTTTCTGGATATTGCGAGGGCAACGCGAGAACTTTCTAAAACGTATAGGAAACAGCTAGAAAAACTAACAGATAGCACGGGAGCGTTTCTTAGCGAATCGGTACCTAAAAAGTGGAGATCTTCCACTTTGGCCGCTTCTTTACAGCATCGGCACAACTCGGGTCAGGGGTCCCTCCCCTGTTCTGAACCGTATCAAACCTCTATCTCCGTTCTATTTGACCTGGACCTCTGCTGGTCCGTGAAGACGTCTCCGTCGGGTACTCTTCTGTGCAGGGCAACTCCGTACGTCGAGACTACCTCTCCACGGCAGATTTGAACATCTCGACTGAAAGCCAAATTGACAAATTTTTTCGAAAGCATTGGCGTACCTGTGCGAATCCATACGAGAGCGCAGCTTCCGATCAGGATGGCGACTCGAAGGGAAAAGCGAGAACGTTACCTGAATCGGTAGCTGGAGTCGCCTTGTGACCGTGGGTCGAAAATCACGTCACAGTGTATATGATACTGATAACATAAAACAGATAACGTCTAGATGAATTAATCGTTGGATAAGAAATATCTAAATTTTTTTATTTTTCGTAAATACTTTTTATTTTTTATAACGTTTAAAGAGACTTACGTTTTGGAATATTATATAGCATAGACAATGTCTCTGAGCGTCCCGACGCTGTACGTGTATGACAATGCTCGTCGTGTTTGGAAACTATATGTAGGTACATGCCTCGTTGTGCCTGCGGCAGTACATTGCGCAGCCGAACGAGACAACCCCCGACAACGTGCAACGAGGTCACCCCTCTGATACCAACTCACGCAACAAAAACGGAGATATTCGAAAAAAAAAAAACTGTATGCACTGTATCTGATTCGGGGTGGTTAACGCATGTAAGGGATGATACGATTGAAATCTGAAGGTTGGTCCGAAATTATATTGATATACGGGATACCCATTCGATTCACTGATAACGTAATCTGAATTTCTATTTTAATTATTTGACCTTCTATATTAAACAGAGTGAGGATTGATAAAAGATTACAGGAAATTTTGGGAAAGATAACAGGATTCTCTGTACGGTCCGTGGGAACTATTTTGAATTGTTATCAATGCGAATTTCTATAGCCGTAGGTATATTTCGTATTACGTAATTGGAAACTCTGGCTAATTACATTTGTACTTATCACTGCAGTAATTGTCGCCAGATACATGGATATGTTTTTGAAATTGAATATATACTCGGTATATAATTTATTTAAAAAATTTTCAAAAATCACCTCACTCCAATCGTATCGATGATCCTTCGGGATAAATGTTCCTCTACCAAACAAGAGGAAATGGATTGATGGATATTTCGTATTGGCGCTTCGATGATGGCTGCGCCGCAACTCGCTTATACCTGGGCCGCTAATGAAACGCCGAGAAAATTAACATTTCCAATAGGTGGGCACCTGCCCTCGCGAACCGATTTCCGGGCATAATCTATGAGGGTGCCAGTCGTAGAGAGTTTGGGGCCACTCAACAATGGCCGAACCGACCAACCGGCTAGATACGCCGCGTTCTGTGAATTCAACGATCCACAGGCTGGGCAAGAGGGGTGGATGGGAAGGGATGCATCGAGTGGGTGGTTGCACGGGATGCAGGGGGTGGCTTTACTAGAGAGGGTGAAACTGAGGGTACTGATCGGAGGGATCGGAGGGATCGGTGGATCGTCGGCTGGAAGCACTGGAACGGTGGATTGGACTGGAAGGGGTTGTATGGGTCGGATCGGGCTGGATTGGAGAGCGGGAAACAGTGCGCGCCTGAGGGGTGGCAGTCCAACTATGCCGGCCACCCTCCCTCCCACTGTTAGGGGTTGCTAGTCCCCAACCTAACCAACAGGTCGATAGTTTGCGATGCTATATACCGATGGCGACTCGATACACGATGCACCAAGTAGTAGTAGCGATGCATCCCCCTGTTGGCTAATGTTTCGACAAAATGAAAACTGACGTCAGATTTGCCTGCAATACAGTATTTTCGAAATCCACCAACAGTACGAAAAAAAATTTTTTGGGAAATTGATAAAAAAAACATATATTTTTTTATATCACCTTTTTTCCAGGTATAATGAGAATATTTATCATTGTAGAGACTTTACGTAAGCCGACCCATTCTTTTACGGTATCTGGGGGAAAAAAAATCAAGTTGAGGTTATGTACGCAAAATCGGGACAATCTAAAACTTGAGCCATCCTAAACACGCGCTTGGAGCTTTATAAGCGGTATTCCTGCCGGTAAGGAAAAAGACGCCAAGTGAATTCTCGCCCGTTCCGTACCCTGAAAATCCTCATGATCGTGAATGATCCAGCGTCGTGACTCTTCGCTACGGGTCACAGGAGGATAAGGGATCATGCATGATCGTATTCCGCGATTTCAGTCAAGCTTCCAATCTTATAAAACTAGCGAGACTGCTCCAACTTTTCCACGTTACCAACACGAGGGTGAGTTTAACCACCCGGCACCTTGGATACTTCCACCCTTGTATCATGGAGGATACGCTTTCTCTCTGTGTCACGGGTAAAAGACGTCGGGCGTCGCGACGCCCTGAATCGCGGATACGCGGCGCCGTCTCTCCTGGGTACAATTTTGCTGGAAACTGGCCGCGTTCCTTTTTGATAAAATTCACGTTTGGGATTACCATCCCCTATACTTCACCCTTGACAGATTTTACCCCTTGATCGTTTTTACTATATCTTTTTCTTCATACAATACGGTATATCGTTATGCTGACCTTTCACCTTTTTTTCGTAAAATTTACTTAATTGTATTTTTTTTGGGACTTACCCACCTCCTTCCCACCCTGCACAGCCCTTAAATAACATTGTGACCTATATCAAAATATCTGAGGGATGATTTCACGAGGTACACAGTATAACTTTATGTACGCGTGGACAATGTATTCGGCAGTTCAATAAATAATCATCATAATTATAAACATAATTAACTATAACGAGAATATTAGGACTGATTACTTATATTCCTGTTATCGGCTATAATTAAGAATAACGACTTGCATTCATTACATACAGAACAAACGCATGAGGCTGGTGGGATAATCCTATGTTAAAAAATCATATATCCTTTTCTGTTTTTACGTAATGCCACAATATTTTATCGACTATTTGTTGATTTATTTAAATGTATCACTTAACAATTTCATTATAGTTTTCGTACCACTGTTTTATCACTATCTACCCATAAAACGAAAAATCAAAACTGGCGACGGTGAACAAATTTTTTTTTTTTATTTACACGTACTAATCGATATATTTATTTTTTTTACGATTTAAAAAAAAATTATTACCTTATCAGTACCATGCATCATACGTGTTATCGGGAGTGTTTCGATGCTCCCTATTCCTCTTATGCAAGTAGTACCCGCACCTATAGTCGTTAATTTCAAACTATAGAATTGTAAATCGAAAACACATTGTGATTCACGCCAACTTCAAGTGTATCATATAAATCTTCCTCAGTGCGTTGCAGATACTAGATACTACATACGACCAGGACTATTCATACCCCCTCAAGTCAAGTTCAGTAAGAGGAGGACGTCCATCTGTCTGTCTGTCTGCTCATCCGTCTATCCGAGCGTCGGTCCAGCCGTCTGTCCGTCCGGCTGTACCTTCGACTGACTCTCCGGCTGTCTGTCGGCTACGCCTGTATCTTCTCCGTTCCTAGTCTTACAATGCCGGAGGATCTGACCCGACCTCCTCGTGTCATGTCTATGCCAGTGGTAACCAACGGGTCTCAGTATGAAAGATATTTTTTTTTAACTAGAAAAAAAATTGGATATTAAAAAAAAAGTGATTGATTGAATTCCAAATTTTGTTTATAAACAATTTTTCAACTTTCAGAGAAAATGTGTATGTCGAAATTTCTTAATTTCAATATTTGATTAAGGATCACGTTCCCATTTTATAAATCTTTTTTGATAATATTTTAATATAAATTTTTTTACTTTTGAATTTGACGAAAATCGCGTCATGAGTCCCTATGTTAAATTTCAATATCCAAAGGGATGTCTGAGAGCCACTATAAGGGTAGTCTATTCACGTGGCCTTAACTCGTTCCGTACACCTTCCTACCTCCTACCCCTATTGTCAATACTTCATTTCATTAGTGCTCGCCAAAAGATAGAGAATATTCCTTCGCATGAGAGCAAAAAGGAAAGAAAGAAAGAAAAAGGACACGAAGGAATAAGAGACTGTATTAATTCCACGGGAATTTTATTCCGTCATTTTTTCCGCCACTGTGCTACCTCGACTACTCCAACAATTTGAAAAAAATTTTTTCCTAACACGGCATAAATAAAATCACATTTGACCATTGGAATTCCCATCTGTATGTCACGTGACACGAAATATATAATTTTTGATTTTCCCAGCATCGCCTTCCAAAAAAGTAAATTATATTCCACACGAGATGAATCTAACGTGAAATGAAACTCCACGGCGTAATAACATACAGACATACAGTACGTATTAAGAAACGGATATTATAATAGACCAAGGTAAAATATCAGGATAGGAGAGCAGAGCAGGTATTCTGGATCCTTGAAGAATTCTATTCCGTGCACGTCCTTTGTGAGAATCTACCCAAGCCCACCCACATCCTAAGCACAATCTCCCGCGGGGAAGAGAGACAGAGAGAGATAGGAGAAGAAAGAGAGAGAGAGCAAGAACAAAGATATAGTAACAAACGACTATTTTTTTACAAAATAACGGAATCAACAGAATAACTATACGACAATAAATATCCAAAATTCAGTGCAAAAAAAAATAAAAAATTATGAAAAAAAAAGACACACGTGCAAACATATTATTCTCTGTGTGGGTCTTTTCTACAATTCTAATTAGCAACTCATCATTTTCTCGACTACGTCAGTCGTCATATTTCGTATCTCGACTGTCTTGCGAGCACGTAGGAAATGAGTTGGACTTAATCGAGTTGCTAAGAATTTCGTAACGAAAGCCTTTTTGTTACATTGGTCGAACAATGTAATTCTCCAAAAGTAATATTTATACACATACATAGAACGTCAAAATAAATATAAAGAAAACAATTTAAGCATACACTCGATAGTCTACGACCGAGTGACATTATTATCATGACCTTGAAGTATATCAAATCCTATCCGTCAGTCCCACCCTCGACCACCTTCACAGTCATCCTTTCGAGCACGAAGACCTCATTGCCATTCCAGACAAGTCGACTCGGGGGACACTTGTGTATTACATGGCAGAAGGGCGTGCGAAATCTTAGCCAGCATTTAAGGGATGTTTTTTTATAACCCCGACAAACAGTTCTGGTACACCAAAAAGTATTTTTTTTTAAATTTGTAATCGTATAAAAAATTATTCTCCCGCTCCTTGCTTCCCTCTCCGGGCAACCAACACTAGGATGTACGATACAAGATTTCAAATCGAGATAAAGAAAATTTGCGAAAAATAGGAATTCTAGAAATTTTC